AAAGTTCTAGTATCTATATTTAAATTGCATCTACATTATTGTAAATCTTGATTAAAACTTTTAAGTTAGCAATTGATAATTGTTGAAATATGGTAAAAAAGTGTAGAATTTAAAACCTGCTGAGCGAAGCGAGGCAAAACATAAAACTCAAGCAAAGCCAAGAACTATGAAAAAACAAATAGAATACCACCTTAATATATATTTCTTGATTTCAATTAATCATGTATTATCAAATTGTCAGTGTCTATTAATACCACATACCGTTATATCTAACTAGGAACTAGAAACCGGAGCTCATTATATCATCTTACACAAACGCGTAAATGTGCATAATTTTTTTACACAATGTACAAATATAGACATGCGGTATTACAGATAGAAAATGCCGAAACTACTTTTTTGATCTGTTTATTATAGATGCATCAAAATCATAATTTCAGTCATCAAAGCGCATAGAAGTATGAGTCCTCCGCTTCGCTCTGGACAATTATTAGTTGGCGGTGAAGCTGCTACATGATCATGTACCAGTTTCTTTATAAGTTCAGAACAACAAATAAAATAGGTTGTTGGCTATTTGTTTTACAAATGAAACCATTCATACCCTTTTACTATTTCAGCTAACAAGCGCAAAGATGGCTATATTCATATAATAAGGCTGATTTCTCATGATCCAACTTGTTTAACCTCTATAGAAGCATTCAAAGAACATGGATCATACCTTGTAAAGTTTACTGCGCCATTAGTTAAATAAATAGCAGTACTTCGACCTCGTGATAAATTGAATTTGTTTTGAAGTAGGGGCCGAGGCACCTTATATGGTAGTTTGAGAAGTAAAGCCATTAGGTCACACAGTTAGTTTTTCATTTTGCTCAAAAATCTGTTTGGTCAGTCGGATTTTTATGTTTTCTTTTAATTCTGAATAATGAATAATAACTCTAAAACACCTATTTAATCACAAAATGAGGCAATTAATCAGAATACCCTTATGTTTAAATCGGCTAGCAACTTTGACAGTATATTTAGGCCCTTATTTGTAATAATTTTCAAATATTGGGTCTTTATCTGTAATTATTTTCATTTTGGGCCCTTATTTGTAATTATTTTCATTTTTGTGCCCTTATCTGTAAATCCCCCCAAAAATTTCTAAAAGGTAATTCGATATATTATCTCAAATTTTACTTAAACATTCAAAATTATCAAAGTGCTTAATGGGATACTTGCTTAAGGGTAACGTTTTGCAATGATTTTTATTAGTGAAATTTTTTTTGCAAATTAAAATGTAAATTCACGATTTTTTACTAAATGAATCATTAAGTAAACTTGTTCGCAGCAAGAAATTTTACCTATTATGACAATTTCGTGAAAATTATATACAATTCCGTTAAGAAAATTACGCGAATTGTAAAAAAATTATTTTTCACCATTTGCGTGATTTTTCTTAAATTTTGAATGTAGAAATTCTAACGAAATTGTATACGATTTTTACGAAGTATTATTGTAGGTAGAAATTTTTGCTGCGAACAAGTTTACTTAATGCATGAAGGTCGATTCAGTTAGTAAAAAATCGTAAATTTTACATTTTAATTTGCAATAAAAAATTCGCTAATAAAAAATCATTGCAAAACGTTACCCCTTAAGCAAGTATCCCATTAAGCACTTTGATAACTTCGAATGTTCAAGTAAAGTTTTTTTTTTTTGAATATTAATGGTGAGATCATGTCTCTGTCTTTATTGAAATTTAATTAAAATCTTTTATACAGAATGTTCAAGTAAAGTTTGAGATAATATATCGGATTACCTTTTAGAATTTTTTTACCTATCTTAGTTAAAGAGAAATACCGTATAGTTCCGAAATTAAGCACACTTTTTTTTGTTATAAAAGGTGCTTATTTTCGGGTATAATTTTAAGAATAAATAATTTAATATTTTCGTACTAAGTAAATCTACTTTCTATTTCTAAGTAAAAATATTCTCCAAGTCAAGACGATTCTAATGGCAGCAAAATTATCAAAATTGGTCCAGTAGAACTTTCGCAATTTCTCTTCAAAATTCGGGCGACGTATGTTTACATTTGCTTTACGCGATCTGCGGACTCGTAAACAAAATTCGCCCAAACTTTGAAGAGCGATTGTGAGAGTTCTACCGAGCCAATTTTAATGATTCTACTGTCATTAGAATCGTTTTGACTGGAGAATAACTTTTTACTTAGAAAAAGAAAGTAAAGTAGCTTAATAAAAAAATTAGATACAATTATATATAGGGTGCTTATTTTCGGATATTACATAAAATTTATTTCGGAACTATACGGTATCCAATTTGTATCTCTAAAGCAAATAGTAAAAATTTTAATTATCTATATGTAATCTTTTGATTTTAAATAGAAAATATATATAACTTATATAATGCTTTTAAGTAAAGTTGTAATTATGATTTTTGACTATTTCGAGAAATTTTTTTAGATGGATTTTATTTTATTTACGTTTATTAATCAAAAGGTGCATTTTTTTGCTTTAATATTTAATAGAAAATCTAATTAATAAAATTGTATTAAAAAGTCATTAAAACTTTATTATAGTTGTATTTTATTACTACAAACAAGTTTACTTAATACTAGAGTGCCAGTTTACTTAGTAAACATTGTTTTATGCATATCGATGATTATCAATTATTTTCAGAAATTGTATATCGGGCGTTACTTTTGAAGACTACTATACGTATACGGCTTATCGTTATCGAGAGAAAAATCATTCTTGGTAATTCTGGTGTTACGATAAATAGTATTTACCGTTGGCCACTGCTTACAGCATCCCTCAAAAATAATACCCCCATGATTAAGACCCGGGTATTATTCACCACCCTTACTGGCTTGTTACTTGAATAAGACCCGGGGGTACAACCATATTGATTTACTACTTTTAATATGATATGTCCCCAAATATAGTACCCGGTTCTTCACACAGTGCCCACGGGTACTATTCAATTTTAAAAATGGAGTTCTTGAATAATACCCCGGGTACTGTAGGCAGTGGCCAACGGTACTAATTTCCTCCCAAGTTTCTATTTGTTGGGATTATTCGCACCAATTTACATGTCACATTCGTTTAAAATGTGACATCTCAGTTAAGGTTTGACGTTAGTGATATTGGGCGGCATTATACTAAAATTCTGCATGGAATTTTTTTTGTTAGTGCACCAAAGGTGATTTCTTAGCGCTAGTCTAAGGATCCCTGGGGCTTTAAAAGGCGGTTGTGCCCAAATAAATATACGGACAATGATTGGCACAAATTTTGCCTAATAGAATTTTCCACTTGCAGTGATCTTAGTGCAGCGAATCGACTAAGCCGGCTTGCTGCACTAAGTGATCTCATTTGAAAATTCCCTGACTATTAGTAAACGCCGATAAATACAGTTTATCGTTATCGAGTTGATCAATACCAAGTTATCAAACATATGTTTTGTGATGATAAAAATTATCTATTTAACCATCAGTTTTGCACCACATCATGTCATTTTGGTCTGTTAAACGAATTTAGTTGATCTTTGCGTTCGGTAATATCTTCCCGCCGTTGAATTGTCGTAACAATCTCTGTAATATGTAATAATTTTAATGAGTTACAGCATTTTTCATTATGTTGCGCCAAGTTACGGCAAGCTATAGCAATTCTGCTAGTGATGCAGTAAAATCGTCCCAATGATTGTTGTAATTTGCTGTAACTTTCCCTAACTATATTACTTACTATAGTTTCGGCCAGTTACGACTTACTTGAATAAACAAGTGTAAATCTGGAGAATAGATCTACAGTATGAAAATTAGTTGTTCTTTATGATTTATCGTTTTAGATTCCAATGGTTTGCTGTTTCTTCTAAGCCGAATGGTTTTGTTTTGGTATTGATCATTTTCAATACAACCTTTATATAAGTATTGATAGTAGAATTGTTCGTTTTTTATTTATTTATTTTTTTTTTAAAATTATGTTCGTAAAAAAAATTTAAAAAAATGTGGAAAACAAGTGAAGAACCTGGACTGTTAGCAGTTAAAGTGATTTTGATAATATTATCATTGTTATTATTAGGCGTATTTATAGCTCCTAGAATTGTTAGTGATGAGTCAGTTACTCATATTGAACTTAAAAATGATGGTTCATTAGCACCAAGTAAATAAGCAAATTATTTATTATTTTATTTGTAGTTAAGTTAATTAATTCAATTAATTCAATTAGTTTTCTAATCTTAGAAATAACCATGTATTCACCCAACTATTTTGCTATAACTAATTGTACGGGATTAAATGATAGTTGTCAAGTGAATTGTAAAAGTAATGGAGAAAGTTTTGGAGGCGGATATCGTACAATTTTTAACACATCAGAGTGTGTTTTTAAGAGTAATTCCAGACTCGAAATCTGGTTGTCCAATGTTACTAATTGGGTTGCTATTCGTTTTGATGATAAAAAAATTTTCGAAATTATGGATTATCCTGATTATATTATTTTGAATCAAGTAAGTTTCAATTTCGGTATAATTGAATTTAAATATGAAATTTGAATGTAATTTTGATCTTTATCATTCAGTGGTCTTTGATCAGAATTAGAAGAAAAGTGACTAGAAACCTTATTCGAAACTGGAAAGGATATTTAGGACTTTTTCCGGAATACAATGAAACTTCTTCTTATGGAACTTTTTTATGTAATTTTTATTAAATTATTTTTTGTCTTGACTATTAAGTAGTAACTAGAATTACAATTAATGCTATAGATGGAGTTATTCCAACCTCTCAGCCGTCAACAGCAATTCTAGATCTGATAGCTGAATCTTTGGATACAGAAGTCCAAACAGAAGTGAGGTAGGTTGACTTTTTATTTTAATTTTTATACACACCTGGAAATTAATTGGTATAGTAATTATTATGATGCATATTTAGGGCTTATACGGTAATGATTAATTATATTTTCTTCGATAATTATTCAAAAAAACCCATTTAATCTTGAAGATTATGAATTCGAGATATATATTATATATTTGTAATAATTATAATATTTAGTTATTTAGTTTGTTTGGCACACTTGGAGGAATTTGGAGTTTATGGAAAATAGGTTATACTAAATTGTTCGGTAAGTAATAATGGTTTGGTAAAAAGTTTCATCCATATTAACATTCTTTATTATAGGTGCTGGTAAATTTAAACCACTAGGTATACTTCATAGACAAGGATGCTTTGCAAAAAGTGTAGAGAAAAAGTTAAAAGACAAAAGTTTGGATGTTTTCTTAAAAGATTATGCTATTGATACCAAATCTTGGAAGAAGGTAATCCCGACATCCAAAATTTCGACAGACCATAATACTGACATCACGCAATGTGACAATTAAAAATTTAAAGTCTATTAATGTGATTACTAATCTTTAAATATTAATTGTCAGGCAAACCCGAATAAGGTTGGGTAAATGTAATTTACACATAACCTACGTAAGTTATCTTTATTTTTTTAAAAATAAAGTTATTTTGAATAATTCAAACTTAACCCGAAGAAATTTTTTCGTATTTTAAGATTTCATATTCCACATCTGAAATTTGCAGAATCTACTTAATGCAAAAAAAAAGTTTTTAAAAAGTTGTCCGATTTTGTAGCAAATCTTTAAAATATGTACCGCGACTTTTGAATATATAAAGTTCGTTATGATTGGTTGTTTATTCTTATTGAAAAAGTACCGTTACACAACTATTTTATTAATACTTTCAAGTTGAAAGTAGAGAAATTTTCATTTTTATAATTAATATGACTTGAAATTTCGTCAGATTGTACTTTAAAAACTTAACTTTCATATTCCGATTGACATCCAGTCGGATCCAGTTGTCTTAGAAATGATTCTGTCAATACCAGCATGTAACACAAAGATGGTATATTAAATATTTAATTTTTAGAATGAAATGACTAATAAAAATACGACAGGGTGAAACCTGCGTTGTAAATTAGTAAAATCTTCTACACAGATCACATGAAGGCTTTAACATAATAATTCACCCTAAGGTGATCTACGTAGCGGATTTTACAAATTCAAAGCGCGGGTTTCACCATTTTCTATAAAAATCATTAGTTTTTTTTGATTTAAAGTTTCTAATATCACGTGGTGATATCGGGGGTCGTCTACAATTACATTTTGCATAAATCATTGGGGTATACAATATCAGTCTAATTACACTAATCAAGATACCAGAAACGGAAATCGAAATTGGTGTTAGTCTGCAAAATCTTGGATCTGATTGGTCCATGTTATTATATATGTCACATAGTGTTTAGTTTTCACATATGGTTTGGTGTAAAAAGATTTGCACCTCAGGCCTTAAAATTAATTTTGTCAATATATAAAAATTGGGCATTAGTTTATGGCGATGGGTCGCCATGGCGATCCTATATGAATAGCCAATCAAAATTGAGCATGTGACTATATAATATATTGCTTATTATTGCTCAATAAAATTTTTTTGCAAATTTTATGATTTTTATAATAAAAAAATACAAAAGAAAATTTTTGAACCCTAAATATGATTGGCTGCTATATGTAGGGTTACTATGAAGATAGGTCTCTATTGTCTTTTTGCCATAAAAATTTTTAAATTTTAATAATTTATTTATATTTTTTATGCAAGATAAAGTAGGTTTTAAGCTATTTTTTGATATATTTTTAATTACTTTTTTATAAATATTTGTTGAGTAAAAAATTTTTTAATAATTTCAAGTTTTAAAAAAATATTAATTTAAAATTTTTTAAAAAATTTTAGATTTTAAGCATTTATGCAAGCTATATACAATATTATAAGTATATACTAAACAATTACATAGCTGTATATATATTGAATATACAGTTAAATTTTGGCTTAATTGGATTAGTAGTTGTTGAGAAATTAATTTTTAAAGTTTAATAGCCAAGTTACTAAGTAATACAAAAACTAACTCTTAGACCTAGACAATGCCTTGGTGTTTAGTATTAATTTTTTAGTTTTAAAGTTTTGCAAATTAACTTGGGTTCACTTAAACCTAGAATGGGTTCACTTTCATTTGGGTTGGGTTTAAGTGAACCTATTTTAGATTTACTTTAACTTATATCGAATTTAAATGATTCTAATTTGGTTTAAGTAGAGTTTATTTAAATCTGTGTTAGATTCAAGTAAACTTGATTTAAATCCAGTTGGGTTTTAGTATATCTGATTTGGGTTTATTTTGACTCATGTTAGTTATGTAGGTTTAAATAAACCCAACTTGGGTTCAAATAAAACTGAATTGGATTTAAATAAACTGACTTAGATTTAAATAAACTCAGATTGGGTTTACTTAAACCTGACTTGTATCGAATAAATTTAGATTAATTTTACTTGAACCTGACTTGTGTTTAAATGAAACTAAATTGGGTTTACTTGAATTCGACTTGAGTTCAAATAAACCCAGATTGGATTTGCTTGAATCTAACCTGGTTATTTATTTATTTTTTAATTTTAAATTTTTTAATTTAATTTTTATTTTTTATTTTTTTTTTAATTATTTTTGTAATTTTTATTTTTTTTATTTTTTTTTATTATTTAGTTTTTTATATATTTATATATTAAATATAATTGATTTGCTTGTATTTAAATCTAATAATAGTTAACAAAACTTAAGATAAGTATATACATAAATTTAAGAAATTGTATTATAATTAGGATAGAATCTTTTACTAATATTTATTTATTTAATTTTATTAGAATTGATTTATATTTGATAAAAGGGCCTTAACAATATTTTATAGAAGATAATATTTAATATATATTGAATTTAGATCTTTATTTTATTTTTTTTTGGTATTAAGGTGAGGCTTTGCTCGTATTTTTATTAATAATTTTATTGGGTAATAGTAACTACAGGTTGAATAATCAACTAGTGTATTGTTACTATAATTTGTAAAAATACAAATAAAAAATAAAACTATACTGCAAGAATAAAAAGCTCAAACTTATTTATCTGTAACTTAAACCTACTAGAGTGGTCAAAGCTCACCTAGATTATAATAGAAGAAATAAGATTAAATGAAGTACTGTATTTAGCCCAATAGGTTGACTAGAAATCATATTTCCTTCTAGCTTGACCGACAGGCAGACAGTTATTAGAGTTGGTGTGTAGTTGATTTGGTTTTCCCACAGGTAGAAAAAAGACAATAAGCAACCAATTAGCATATTTGCTTTATTGTTACTTATAATATATAAATAGTTAAATAAATAACAATAAGCATATTGATTAAAACTTGATTAAAAATTATTGTATCAATCAATTATCTTGCTTATTGCTGCTAATTTATAGCTGCAATTAATATTAAATAATTGTTAAATAAATATACTAGTTGGTTCTAAATTCTTTTAAATAAACAAATAAATTAAAATTAGTATTTACTTGTTTTAATTTATAAAAGAATTTAGAACCAACTAGCATATCTATTTGAAAATTATTTAATATTAATTGCAGCCATAAATTAGTAGCAATAAACAAGATAATTAATTGATACAATAATTTTTAATCAAGTTTTAATCAATATACTTATTGCTATTTATTTAACTATTTATATATTATAAGTAACAATAAAGCAAATATACTAATTGATTGCTTATTGTCTTTTTTTCTACCTGTGTCCATATATACAAGAATAAGTATATATTAAATGTATATGTCGAGTTGTGGTAGCTAATTGTGATAAGCTTGATGAATCAGGTTGTTATTCAAAACTAGAGGAGTCAGATTGTATTAGAGCACTTGGGTTGTTTGAGTATGGGTAGTTAAGTTTATTTAATTT